ACCCTGAGCCCTTCTCCTGAACCACACCAGCCCTGCCCTTCCCAAATATGCTCTAAAAACAGCCCCAGGGACACACGGTCCCTGAAGACTACAGTCCTAGGGCCTGGTCAGACCTAGTTTAAGGGGAACATTTGAAGGGGGGGCGCTGACCTGCACCCGCCTTCAGAGGACACTTGGAGAGCAGGCATGGGGGCAGAAGGGGTGCCTGGGAGTGACCCGGAGGCTGGAGGGGAGGTCCTTGTGGGACCCAACCAGAGCGACTGCAGAGACATAGGTTACCCTCCCCGGCAGGGGCCGGCCCTGCCAACGCGGCAGCTGAGTTTCGGGGACCCCTGAACTTGGCCTGATCAAGTGGGGTGGGGCGGAGATTCACTCGGGGCGCCAGGTAAGGCTTCCGGGTCGGTTAACCCAGGTGCAGGCCGGACCAGGAGCGGCAGAGCCCGGGCAGCACCCGTTGCGTTCTGGAAATGGGCTCGGGGAAGGGGTTCCGGGAGAGGCCGTTACCGAAGCCGCGCTCCGAGCGGATGCGGCCGCCGGCGCGGGCAGTGGCCTCCAGGACCCGCAGCTGCTGGAAGGCCGGGTGGCGGCAGAGCCTCTGCGCGGCGCCCAGCCCCGCGATGCCGCTGCCCACCACCAGCACCCGCGGGCCGCGGCCCGAGCCCTCCGCGCGGCCTCCACTCGACTCCATCGCGCCGTCCGAGTCAGTCCCCGTGCGCCCCCGCCGCTCCGAAGTGCGGAGAGCGCGGAGAGGACCCCGGCAGGGCCGGGAGGTAGGGCGCGGGGCGGGGCGGGACTGGAGGTGGATGGGAGTGGAGGCGGGGCTAGAGGCGGAGCAATAGGGGAGGGGTAGGACGGGGTGGGAGCACTGGGCGTCCGGCGTCGGGATGGGGGCACGGGGCGGGACGGGACTGCAGGTGGATGGGAGGGAGGAGGGGCTGGAGGCGGAGCGATAGGGACGGGGCGGGACGGGACTGGAGGGGGATGGGAGGGAGGCGGGGATAGAGGCGGGGCGATAGGGCGGGGCGGGGCGAGGGCTCGAGGTGGCTGTAAGGGGGCGGGGTTGGAGGCGGAGCGATAGGGGAGGGGACAGGCGAGGCGCGGCGGGGAGGGGCTGGAGGTGGGAGGGCGGGGTTGGAGGCGGAGCTATAGGGAGGGGCGGGGCGGGTGGAGGCACCCGGCTGCGGGAGTGGGCCTGGGGGGCGCGAGGCAAGGAGGCGCAGGCGGGTAGGTGGAGCGAGGAGCGAGGAGCGAGGAGCGCGGGGGGAGGCCAGGCCGGGGCGCCAGCCGCACCACGTGACCCTCTGGGCTGGGTTTGGGGCTTCCCCTAGAGTTGCGGCCCACGTGCGGGCTGCAGGGCAGGGTGAGGGCGAGCGTGGCTCCGTGGGTGCGTGCAGCCCCGCTGCTGGGCGGGTGTCCCCACGGAGGGAGGATGGGGCCGGCCGTCCAGGCGGCTCGTGTCTCCTTCCAAAGGAGACGTGGGAAAGGCGACCAGAAGGTGGAGGAGGTGCCTCTCTCCTGCCTCAGAAAAGCGAGGTGCGCGCCTTCACCTTGGGACCTCGTGGAGCCTCTGGATGGAAGTCCGAGCGTGGCTGCGGTGTCAGGGTGGGTCGGGGAGGGCTCAACACGTCCAAAGTGGGGCTGCGAGGCAGGCTCTTGGCGACGACACTGTTCTGAATGTGTGTGGTCACGGGTGTTTATACACACAGGTAACACACATAAAGTACAAAGTTCAAGATAAAGGGTAAGTGAAGAACTTTCCCGCAGGTCCCCCTCCCCGCCCCCCCACCCGCCCCAGGAGACATTTAGTACATTTTCAAGCATGCAGGCCTTTCTGGAGAACTCCCCTAATTCAGGAAGATCTGTCCTCTACTGTCTTGTAAGGATTAGAAAGCTTCTGCCCTCTGCCAAAAGGCTTTCCTGTAACCCGGCGTTAGGGTGCATCATTCCTTCTTAGGCATGCACTAGAATCTGCTGTTCTAATCCACCGGGAGGCTTCCTTTCTGTGGCCACCTAGTCCAGCCAGGGAGGGTGGCTAGGGACAGGAGGCTGTCCCTGGGACACCACTCCTAAGTCAGTTCCAGTCTGGGTAGATGGTCTTTCTGTCTGGGTTCTCCCTCTCCATCTCCCAGAGGATTCCTATCCCCCTGTGCTGGCCCTCCTCAGCCATCTATTCTTTTTTCTTGATTCACTCACCTGTTAGGGTGAAGCTGAAAAGCCGTGTCTGGGAGATCATTTTTTTTAATGATACCGCAAGCCTGAAAATGTCTTGGTTTCACCCTCACACTTGATTCGTAGTTTGCCTAAGCATAGAACTCTACGTTAGAGACCTCTTCCTTCAGACTGTGAAGGCATTGTCTCCTCCCTTCTAGGAGTGCCATTAAGAAATTCACAAGCAAGGCACCTGGGGGGCTCAGTGGGTTAAGCCTCTGACTTTCGGCTCAGGTCATGATCTCAGGGTCCTAGGATTGAGCCCTACATTGGGCTCTCTGCTAGTAGGGAGTCTGCTTGTCCCTCTTCCTCTGTCCATTCCCCTACTCGTGCTCTCTCTCGCTCTCTAAGTAAATTAAATCTTTAAAAAAAGGAAAGAAATTCACAGGCACTCGAATTTACAATCCTTTACCACAGTGGAGGCTTGTTCCTCCCTGCAAATTTTTAGGATCATCTGTTGAAATTTCAGGGTGGTGCCGCCATGTGACTGGACTTTCTTTCACTATGTTGGGAACTCAAAGACCCCTCAGTCTGGACACTCCTGTCCTTCAGTCCTGGGAACGTTTCATAGGTTATTTCACTAATCAATTGTTTCCACCAATGACTTGTCCCCCATTTGCTGTTACCTCTTTCTAAAATTCCTATTTTAGGATGTCAGAGGTTTGAGACTGAACCTTGAATGTTGAATGTATTCTCTCCTGTTTTCCATCTTTACTTGTTGCTCTGCTTTCTGAAGGGTTTCTCCCCATGAGGCTTTTGTTTCTGCTGTCACAGTGTTTAACTTCCAAGAGCTCTTCTTCCACACATGTCTCTTTTTAGAGAAATGTTCTGTTCTTGCTTCAAGAAAGCATTGTCTGAGAGTATGAGTGAGAAACGTTGAAGTGTCATTCTCCTGCTTGGTAGGTTTGCTCCATTGTTTCTTCTGTTTCTACCTTCCAGGAAGACACTTTGCATGCTGGCAGGTAGTTTTTTGCTCATGAGGAAGAATAGGCCAGAGCGCTGTTTGGAAATACTAGGCTTGTAAGTGGGGCTCATTGAATTTGAGCTTAACTCTGGGGTGCTCAGGGTGGGGGGCTGTTAATTGGGGAACCCCCATCAGTATCTCTAAGTCCTTCCTTTGGGCTGGCCAGGCTCCCCAATAAGAGTCTTCCAGTGTCCTTCCTGCAGCATATAGGTCTGGCTGCTAGTATTTTTGAAGCCAAAGAGTGGACAGGAGTGGAGAGGGTCAGCATTCTGGGTGCTGGAGACCCACCTCCAACTATGCCTCCTTCTGGAATCCCTGTGTGCAAAGACAAATGTCTAGGCTGCTGCCAGGATGGCACCAGGGCCACTGCCTGTAATCTAAGAGCTTCTAATAATTCAAGGTGCTGAGGACTCATCCCAGAATAAGAGACAAGTCCCAGCCTTCATGGAATTCAGAAAATGGACATTTAAATATATATAAATATGTGATTCTCAATGGAACGTACATCCAAGGGATGCGTGCACTTTAAAAGAATGATGTTGGGAGAGGTGTTGCCATAGGCAGGCAAGAAGTGGTGTCTGAAAATTCTTACAGAGTGCCCAGACCACAGGCTGACCCTCTCCTGATACTGAACAGTTTCTGTGGCTGGTCATATAGGCAACCGAGCAGGTCAAGGTGCCCGTGAGTGACTGCCAGGAGTGACCTGCTGTCCTGGGGACTGCAACAGTGGGGAGCAGCTTTGTGCAACTGCTTACTGGGCGGGTGGCCCTGGGACCCGCACACCCCACACACACACTCCTCCCTCTGCACCCATCCCAGGTCCCGGACAGGGTCCTTGACGGCTGGCTGGTGCACCGCCCCCCCCCCCCGCCCCCGCCTGAGGCTTGTGTCACAGCTCAGGGAAAGCACCTGAATGACAAGACTCGTCAGACCGTGCTGGCCCCGCAAGGTACACCCTGAGTCCAAAGGCATGCACCTAACTGCTTCACAGCCCCCACGTGGGGACACAAAGCCCTGGGAGGAAACCGGAAGTCATGGGGACCCAGAGTGGGCTGCTGCACTCGGCCTAGGACCAGTTCACAGAGCTGACCGCCTGACCCCTGGCCTTGTCACTCAACCTGACATCTCAGGCAATCTGACCGAGTCCAGTGAAACATATGTTTGGGGTGCAGCCACCCTGCCCCTAGTGTCACCTGTTGCTGGGAATAACAGCTCTCTCTTTGGGGGAAACTTTACCCCCCACCCACTATGGCACCTGAAGCAAAGCTGCTGGTTCAGGGGGCTTCCTTCTCAGAGCTTCCCCTACATGCCATCTGGTTCCCCAGGGTTCAACTCAGCAGGGTCACTGGGCTGCGTCTGGTCTACTACTGGGGACACGTCAGCCCACAGATTAAAGATTCTTGGAGGTCCCAAACTCGGCAAAGTGGCTGCCGGTCTCTGGGTTTCTCACAGGTATGCCCATGGTGAGGGCCCTGAAGTGACCCCTGAAATCAAGATGGTGGTGGAGCCCGAGCAGCCCACCTGTTACCAAAGTGGCCAGTTCTCTTCCTACTCAAGACTGTTTGCCAAATAACCAAACCATATTTGATAGCAAGCTGGTAATTTATTCAATAACCAGAGAATGGAGAAGGAAGTTCATGCTCTAAAGGCATCTTCTTCCTGATTAGGTCTCAGGGTGAGGGTTATACGGGGTTAGGGTAATTAAAGGGCTGGTAAGCAAGCTGACTAGGGGTGTTTTAGGGAAGAGGAAGGGGGCTTTCTTGGAATCAGACTGCCACCTCTTTTTTTCCCTTAAATGGGCGCAATTGGATCTGTCAGGGCATAGTAGGTGTTTGGGTTTTTTTTTTAAGATTTTATTTATTTGACGAGAGAGGGGCAGAGTGGCAGGCAGAGGCAGAGGGAGAAGCAGATTCCCCGCTGAGCAGAAAGCCCAACACGGGACTCGATACCAGGACCCTGAGATCATGACCTGATCACCGACTGAGCCACCCAGGCGGCCCTAGGTGTTTTTGTTATTACAGTGATACGGTAATGTCCTGAGGTCATCTGGAGGGTTAGCACAGTGTCTGAACTGAATCAAACTGGTCCAGAACTGGGTCACTGGGGCTTGTTTGGAGCTTGTGGCTTCTGGCTGTACCTTAGTTTCTTGTGGCAAGCAGCACCTGTAAGCAGGGCGAGAACAGTGGGTTACTGTGGCCTGTTTGGAGCTTGTTAGAGTCTCGAGGGACACGCCCACTGCCCCGACAAGGCAGCACTGTGCCACCTTCACGGACCTGACTGTGGGGCTGTGAGGGACAAATCTGCATGCTCGTCCTTGGGTGAAGGAGGCCTCCTGGCATGGGCCTTGGCCACTCTGGGCAGACCAGCTGGCTAGACACTGGCCCTCTCTCCAGGTGGCTGGCAGTACCTCAAGGCTGCAGCCCCATTTTCAGGTTGCATTGTCACTGTCCTCGCCCCATCAACTGACTCTATCGCCCTTGAAATTACCGTGTCATGTTTTCAGCTATCCCGTCCCTTTATAGTCTGCCAGTGGCCACCAGCAGTGGGCCCTAGTGAAGGTATTCCAATACTCACCAGTCGTTTTGGTCATAGCCATTCTAGGATGTAGGGAGTGGTATCTCATTGTGGTTCTGATTTGCATTTCCCTAGTGACTAATGATATTGAGCACCTTTGTGTGTGTGCGTTGGCCGTTTGTATATCTTTATTGGAGAAATTTCTGTCCAATCCTTTGCCCATTTTTTTAAAAGTTCATTTTTTTTTTAGTAATCTCTACACCCAACATAGGGCTCAAACTCATATCCTTCCAACTGAGCCAGCCAGGCACCCCTCCTTTGCCCATTTTGTAATGGTTTGTCTTTTTGTTATGAAGTTGAACATGTTCTTTATATATTCTAGAAAGAAGACCCTTACCAGATATATGATTTGCAAAAATTTTCTCTCATTCTGTGGGTTGTCCTTTCACTTTCTTCATGGTGTCCTTTGAAACACAAAAAGTTTTTGATTTTGCTGAGGCCCAATTTACATATACATATACATATATATGAAAAAAAATAAAGGGAAACCTCACCAAAATGGAGTCAGGAGCCAGAAGGGGGAGCCATTACCACTCCATGGTATTGATTACAGGAAGAATTGTGAATTACAGACCCTAACAAAACAATCCTCAACAGGAGAGTCAACTACAGGCCCCAACAGGTGGTGAACCCAAGAGGTGAACATACAGCCTCCACAAAAAATGGCCCACCCCTGCACCTCAGCCAAGAAGCCCTCTTCACCCGGAACTCTTGCTTCTCTCCAAGGGACTTTAGTTCAAAGCAATCCCTGCCAATGTCCTCCTTCTCCGTAAAATGAAGTTCCTCTCCTTTGTTGGACTGGCACGTGGTTTTTCTATAGCTTGCAAGTCCCTAATTGCAATTCTCTGCTATTCCCAAATAAACCCATTTTTGCTGGTGAAATAAGTGACTTTTATTTTGAAGGTTAATACAAATACATCTTTTTTTTGGTTTTTGTCACTTGTTCTTTGTCCCTAATTTTATGGAGGACAACACCTGCTCTCCTCGACACCAGCCCTGGGGGCTTAGGAAAACTTCTTTTATGCTGGAACCATTTCATTCTGTGTGCCTGTCACAGGGGTGTAGCCCACGCTGACACAGCCTCCTTCAGCACCGGGTCGGTAATCTGTTTGCATGGAAATGTCTTTATTCTACCCTCAGCCTTGAAATAAACTTTTCTGAGTATTCAATTCTGGTTTGGATTTTATTATTTATTTGAAAAACGTGTTTTACTTTTCATTTGTCTGTCTGCCGTCTCCGCTATTTGCAGAACCTGAACAAGAGTCAAACGGAGGCCTGGTAATACATGTCTGAACACCTACGTGTTATAACCAAAAAAATTTAAATACATTTAAAGTGTCACTGTTAAAAATGAAATCTTACTTCAATAAACTACATAATCTTGCTGCCGCTTTTTTTTTTAAAGATACTGGACAGAGTGAGTGAGAGCGAGAGCAGGGGGAGTGGGAGAGGCCGACTCTGCACTGAGCAGGGAGCCCGAGGTGGGCTCGATCCCAGAACCCCGGGAACCAGGACCCCGGCCAAAGGCAGACGCCTAACCGACCGAGCCACCCAGGCGCCCCTTGCTGCCACTGTATTTTCCGTGTCTACGCGCTCCCTTCTGCCGGGACTCGTTTGCACCCTGCAAACCCGGTTTCCGCTGGCTTCGCGGGGGTGCCTGCCCCGCAGCGGGCGGGCTGACAGGCTGGAAGCGCGTCCCTGGGAGTGGGGGGCGTCGGGGCTCCGGGTTCCGCGAGCGGCGCCCCCGGGTCCAGCCCGGAGCCTGGCCTCCGGCCCCCAGGGCTCGTCCCGGAAGTAGGGGAACGAGCCCTGGGCGTGGGGGCAAGGGTCGAAGGCCAAAGGTCAAGAGGAGGCGCCGGCAGGCCCGGGGGCTAAGAGGCCGGCGGGCCGAGGCGCGGCCGGACGCGGCAGGCCTGCCCTCCGGGGTCTTCCAGGCGGCTGCCCCACGGCTCAGGGTCCTCGACGGCCGGCATAGGGCTGGGGGCGCGCCACAAGGCCGACCCTCCGAGCCCCGCTCCCGCCCTGCCCCTCAGCCCGCCGCGGCCTGCTAGCCTCCTTCGGCTCCCGGACCCTTGGCCCCGCCCCCACCTCGCCACGCCCCTTCCGGGGCCCGCTGGTCTCGCGATGCCTGCGCCGTCTCGCGGCGCCGGACCGGAGGCGGGCCGGGCCCTGACTGGTGTAGCCGGGGGCGGCTCCGCGGGGCGGGGCGAGTCGTCCCCACAGCGCCATGGCTGCCCTGCGCGCCGTGCTGTCTCGCGTCCGCTGCCTGCTGCGCCCCCGGCCCGGCTGCGCGGCCTTGCGCCCCTTCGTCTCGGGTGAGTACGGGACTTAGGGCGCGTGGGAGTCCGGCACCGCGGCCGCCCCCGGGACCCCCGGACCTCACTCCGGGGCCTCACGCCCTCCACCAGCCTGACCCCCGGACCTCACTCCGGGGCCTGACCCTGGCCGCCCCTGGAGCCCCCGGGGCTCACCCCGGGCCTCACCCCCTCCACCAGCCCTGATCCCGTCCGCCCTCCCACTCCTCCCCGTGCACCCAGGGCCCGGCCCGGCCCCCCTGCTGTCCGGCTGGGCTTGCTGAGGGCGCGTGGGAGTCCGGCACCGCGGCCGCCCCCGGGACCCCCGGACCTCACTCCGGGGCCTGACCCTGGCCGCCCCTGGAGCCCCCGGGGCTCACCCCGGGCCTCACCCCCTCCACCAGCCCTGATCCCGTCCGCCCTCCCACTCCTCCCCGTGCACCCAGGGCCCGGCCCGGCCCCCCTGCTGTCCGGCTGGGCTCGCCTTCCAGCACCTGCTACCTCGGCTTGCTGATCTCTGGGGTTAGCCCCTCAGTTGGGGGGACTCGTGACTAAGTGCTGAGACCTCTGGCCATTTCAGTGTGGTTGCTGGCGGTGAAATTCTGCGGGGTTTACAGGACTTTCAGAGAATGTGCAGTCGGGCCTCCGGGGTTGGCAGAGGTCCCGTGTTCTGTCCGGCAGTGCCTCCTGCGCGGGCCTGCCCACATCCACTGCTTTTCCCAAGTCCGTTTTTCGGACTCTGCCTGCCCCAGCAGCCGGGCGTGTCCTCCACTCAGGTCAGGGCCTCAGGGCCGCAGCGCTCCTGAGGAGCTCTGGGCCCTGTCCCTCCCTGAGCTGGGGGTGGAGTCCCTGCATCCTCTTCCCGCACCCGGGTATCCACTTACCTGCCCAGCTACCAGAGCATGTTGATTTTACCCTAAGTTCCCTTTGCTGACCCACTTCTTCGGGTCCTGACCTGCAACCAGCAGTCATTTCCTGGGCCGCAGACACCCTGCTGCTAAGCATTTCGCCTGCGTTACTCCCACCAAACCCCCAGGGTGCTCGCAGACACACAGACCTACGGCTTCTGAGGTTACTCTTTCCCTCTCCAGGCTATACCGACCCCGCCCCCCGGGTCGGTCTAGGGCGCGAGGCAGTCACCGTTCCCTGGTATGCCTCCCGCTCTGTTCTGTGCACACTCGGCTTTGCTCTCTCGTCCAGCTGGCGTTTGTGGAAGGAACCTATTTACCCATCCCTTGTTTCTGCTGGGCCACAGGATGTCTGTAGTGCAGGTTCTGGGAAGGTAGAGAGTGGTGCAAAGGCCACCGTGAGGCTGAGAGCTGTGTGCTGCTGCCTGAGGTCTGGGCAGCAGACCTGTCGGGGTCACTGCCCATGACGGGTCTGATGCCTACTCGAGTGGAAATCCCTTCTTCCCCCAGGTGCTGATTTTCAGTACATCATCGCAGAAAAGAAGGGGAAGAACAGCAACGTGGGCTTCATCCAGCTGAACCGCCCCAAAGCACTCAACGCACTCTGCAATGGCCTGATCACGGAGCTCAACCAGGCCCTGGGGGCCTTCGAGGAGGATCCGGCTGTGGGGGCCATTGTTGTCACTGGTGGGGAGAAGGCCTTTGCAGGTGTGTGGGCAGCATGGCAGCAGTCGCCCAGGTGTGCGAGGGGCGGTCTGACTGCGGCATGTGGTACTGTGAACAGGCTTGCACCTGCGTGGTAGCATCAGAAAAGTTAGGACAACTTGGGGTTAACTCAAACCTAGCGTAAAAAGACACAGGTACTTCTCAGAGAGCCACTCTGCCTGTTTAACGTTCACGCATGCTTTGCCAGCAAAATAAGATTATTCAAAGTGATTCGGGTCCTTGACAGTTAGGTTTTGTGTGTGTCAAGGGGTTAAGTGACTGATGAATAAGCCCAGCCTTCCCAATCCAGCTTGCATCTGTGTCCCTCCGCGTCACCTCCATCAACACATAGCATGGCACGTCACCACTGTCCCTGCTGCCCGACTCTGTCCAGGTGGCCAGCACCTCACAGGCCCCTTAAGCATGGGGCCCTGTGTCAGCCATTCCCAGCAGCCCCTGGTGCCTACACACAGTGCACACTCGTAGCTCCCTGCTGGTTTGGGGGTGCAGCAATAGTGGGGTCTCTGCTCTCTAGTAACTGGGACTCGTTTCCACCCCCAGCTGGAGCTGATATCAAGGAGATGCAGAACCAAACATTCCAGGACTGTTACTCCGGGAAGTGCTTGAGCCACTGGGACCGACTTGCCCAGGCCAAGAAGCCGATCATAGCTGCTGTCAATGGCTACGCCGTGAGTGTCAGACCAGATCTCTTCTCAGCACACTGGGAGGCATCGGATAACCTATTTTCATTTTGAGAAGGCTGGAGTTTAGTTACAGTCACACCGTTCCTGCCGAGTAACGCCACAGATCCAGGACGTGCAGAGAGGAGGTGCTGTAGGCACAGCTTTCGTTGGCAGGTGTTCCGCTGCCGGCTCTCCCGTTCTCAGCCCTCCTGGCGGTCCCGGTGACTGCGGGGAACGTCTCCCCTCTGCTAGGCCCTAGGCCACACGTTGGCTTTTCTGTATGGTTTCAGTGGCTCCAGCCTGCTCTGCAGCTGCAGGCTGACCTCTTCTGCCACCCTCAAGAGCTCGGTGTCCTCTGTGTGGTGTCTGGGTCTCTGGGCACAAGGGCACTCAGAGGCCCTGGGGCCAATGGTGGTGAAGCAGTGTGGGCAGCTCAGCTCGTGATCATGTAATAAAGCTCCCTGTGGGTAAGGCGAGGTCAGCCAGTCAGGTTCATTGGGACCACAGTCCAGCCTGCTGGTTCACAAACTCTCTCTGGCTGCTCTCGAGCCCCCATGGCAGAGCAGAGACTGTGGGACCCCAAAGCTGAAAGAGTTTGCTATAGGGTCCTTCTCGGGGGGGGGGGGGTCGCCAGCATCAGCCAATTGTAACTAACTTAAAACTTTGCATCTCTGTTAATCTTGGCTACTCCCTGGGCCGTGTTCATTTTGACGGGAAATTTAAATAAGCAAATGGAGTAAATTTCTGACTGGGTCCCCTGGCGGCACCTCGTGTTTTGCAGCTTGGTGGCGGCTGCGAACTCGCTATGATGTGTGACATTATTTATGCTGGAGAAAAAGCCCAGTTTGCACAGCCGGAAATCCTACTGGGAACCATCCCAGGTAAAGAGTGAAGATATCTCTAGCTTAAACTCTCCAGGTAATTCTCTAGAATCTGCCCACATCTCAGGAGCTTATCGGCTTTTCCAGTAATAGACAAAAGTATGTAGCTTACATCTGACGAGGGACCCCGGCTGTGGTATGAGTATTGGCCGGCGGCCGCCTGGCTATGCCCATTGCTCCCTCTGCTGACCAGCACACTAAGCCCCAGGGGCACAGCGGCACTCAGAGAGTGGCCCTGGGGGCCTCGGGTCTATGCAGGCTGCTCTGATGACAGCCGGATCCTTTGTCAGACGCTCTTAGGAAATGCTGGCCACATACCGCACTATAACTGCAGTGATTCCTGCTTGTGACCCTGAGTTCAGCAGAGCAGGGAGTCATCCCCCCAGACGGGAGCCGTGGGCAACCAGTGACTCCTCTGTGCCCCGGGGGGCCACCTGATGAGACCTCCAGGCTTATGGCCCCACAAGTCTCTGCCCTGCATGTAGAGCCTGGAGCCGAGGGCATCTGAGCAGCTGTCAGGTCAGGAGAGGGTGTCGGGTCGGCTGAGGGCGAGCAAAGCCCTATATGACCTCTGCTGTCTGCTGGGCTCTTTCCATCCCAGCGCCCAAGGCCTCTGCTTAATTGAGGCAGCACCTGAGTCTGTTGGATTGTGGGTGTCTCCATCAGGTGGTCCCCTTGGCTCACCCTGGCAGCCTGGGGTTCACTGTGGGGCGGACGGCGGGGCCCGGGGTTCACTGTGGGGTGGACGGCGGGGCCTGGGGCTCACTGTGGGGTGGGCGTTTCCTGTGGGGCAACGGCGGGATCTGGGGTTCACTGTGGGGTGGACGGCAGGGGCCGGGGTTCACTGTGGGGTGGACGTTCACTGTGGGGCAGACGGCGGGGAATGGGGTTCACTGTGGGGCGGACGTTCACTGTGGGGCAGACGGCGGGGCCTGGGGTTCACTGTGGGGTGGAAATTCACTGTGGAGTGACGGCGGGACCTGGGGTTCACTGTGGGGCAGACGGTGGGGGCTGGGGTTCACTGTGGGGCGGACGGCAGGGCCCGGGGTTCACTGTGGGGCAGACAGCAGGGCCCGGGGTTCACTGTGGGGCGGACGGCGGGGCCCGGGGTTCACTGTGGGGCGGACGGCGGGGGCCGGGGTTCACTGTGAGGCGGACGGCGGGGGCCGGGGTTCACTGTGGGGCGGACGACACGGCAGACCACTCTTGGTTCAGCTGTAGAGCATCAGGTGAGCAGGAGGATTAGCAGGGCATGTGGAGGCCAGCACTGGGACAGAAGACCACACTCAGAGCGGCCTGGGAGGCCGAGCCCTTGCTCTCGCTTCAGACCCTGAGGGGAGCAGGCCACAATCGGAGGCTACCCCAGCTGCCCTCCAGGTTGAGCTGGGCCAGGGTCTGAGCTGCAGGGGACCTGATGTGCCAGGCGTGGGGCCCAAATATGGAAAGGAGCCTCTCCTGAGGTTTCTTGGGTTACCTCCTTTCTGCCCACCTGCCCCACCCAAGGGGCCCCATCTTCATCCCTCGGAACTTGCTGGAAGTATGTCTGTGGCATCTGGGCATGCACTGGCCATGAGCCAACTATGACCGGTAGCCCTCTGCCCCTGCAGGTGCAGGGGGCACCCAGAGACTGACCCGCGCTGTTGGAAAGTCACTGGCCATGGAGATGATTCTCACTGGTGACCGGATCTCTGCCCAGGACGCCAAGCAAGCAGGTGTGGACCAGGGCCGCCCCACGGAGCCACCCTCATGGGGAGCTGAGTGGAGATGGGGAGAAGGGGGCTGCATCCAGGTGTGCCCATGGGTGATCAGCACGTTGACTTCGGGTGTCCTGAGAACCCAGGGGACAGCTGCCTTTATTTGGAATGTCACACATACAAGAGAGTAACTGAAGTATACATCAGCTTCAAGAGTCAAAACCATCTTTTTTCCCAAGCCCAACGTCAGCAGTGGGGGATCTCCGAGACCCTTGCAGGCACACCCTTTCCCCGTCCCAGGTGACCCACTCTTCCTCCCTCTTGGTGTGTCTGTAAGAGCCTTGTGGCCCCACCTCAGGGACGGTGTGGAGCCTGCATCCCCACAGCCTTGTTGGCCCCCAGAATACCCCAGCTCTAGGGGTGGCCTTGTGACTCAGAGGAGCGCAGCCAGTGCTGTTTGCTATTTACCTGTTTGTGCTTTAGGTCTCGTAAGCAAAATCTTTCCTGTGGAGAGACTGGTCGAAGAAGCCATCCAGTGTGCAGAGAAAATTGCCAGCAATTCTAAAATCGTAGCAGCAATGGCCAAAGAATCCGTGAACGCAGGTAGGGGTTCTGCCGGGAGGAGATTTCTGAGGGCCGGTTGGCACAGGAGCGGTCAGGAGCCGTGGTTCTAAATGATGCATTTTAAGCCACCCTGGACAGAAATTGGGAGGATTCTTAACATTGGAATTCTGGCTCTTTGTAGAGTTCCAGTCTTTGGCTGCTGGCTCACAGATTCTCCTGGAATGTTCTGAGTTGTCCTTGGTATCAGGACTCAAGAAAGGAGCAAGCTTGAGGGACAAGAGTGACAGGCACTGGGGTGCAGGGAAATGGCCGGGAAGGGCAGCATGCTCCCTTAAGCAAAGCCAGTCTGCTCCTGAGAAACCCAGCTCACCTCCCGGAACCTGGTGGAAGATGCTCCTCTCCTCAGCCAGCAGTTGTGCCTGCAGGCTGGTGGCCGCATGGGCTCACGGGACACCTGCATAAACTGGAGACAGAGTTCACGCTGCTCCTGGTTGCTCTGGACTCTCTACAGGCAAAGCAGCTCCGAGCCCTCCTGAGAATTTCTTGAGTCTTACTGTAGTGCGTTGTGCTCAGCATTGGGGTAATACTGCCCAGTGCTGCCTGTTGAGAAGGGTTAGGGTGAGCCCAGGATAGCTGAGCTGCGCCAGGTCTGTGTGCTCTGCAGGCAGGCAGTCAAGCCCCCCGGGCTGCTGCCGGCCTTAGTTGGCTGAGCTGATGTTTGTGACGCGGCCACAAGGATGAGCAGGTAGCACTCGCTTAAGAGGTGGACGCTGCTGTTGGTGCAGAGGGCCAGTGAGGCCACCGTCAGAGGCACCTGCCATCACCCCAGGTGCTCACCCAGGGAAGACACTTTAGCTTGGCTGGAAGGACGGCCCAGAGCAGTGGTATTCTTACCACCCGGGACTCTGTTCTGGCACAGTGTTCCTTTTTCAGGTTTTCATCCTTAATTTTTATGCTTTTTAAAACATTTAATTCTGGGGTGCCTGGGTAGCTCAGTGCGTGGAGCATCCTGCTCTTGGTTTTGGCTCAGGTGGTGGTCTCAGGGTTGTGGGGTTGAGCTCTCCATGTCTGGCTCTGCACTCAGCAGGGTGTCTGCTTGTGACTCTCTCCCTCTCTCTCAGCCCTCCCCCTGCTTGTGCACACACGTGTTCTCTCTCTCTCCCGGAATAAAATCTTTAAAAAAAATAGAAAGTAATAAAATATATGTAGTTCTACAGGCTCTCAAATCCTCTTGTGATTGGACAGAGTTGGCCACTGCACCCTTTACTCAGTTCCTTGTGCCTCTCTTCTTGGGGCCACCAGCGGTGAAGCTCCAAGCAGGTTGCTCTGCTGGCATCTCAGCTGGGGTGGGGCATTGAGAAGGGGGTGCTTCCCAGGCTATGGTCTAAATCACAACGAAATTAAGGTTGATGTGGGTCAGCGGGGAGTGTTTCCTATCACCATAAAACAAGTTGCATGTTCTCACATCTGACACATGAGTTCATAACTTCAGGGTTCTCTTTTTCAGCTTTTGAAATGACATTAACAGAGGGAAACAAGTTGGAAAAGAAGCTCTTCTATTCAACTTTCGCTACCGTGAGTAAACATTCAGTGGAGACACACATGGTCCAGCCGTAGAAATCACTGGGAATATCCTTGTAGGTTTTTTCATTAAATACCATTTCTCTTTGGTCAAACTGTTTGCTTTCCCTGTAGCTGGATCCGATGTGTCCTGTCCACGAGCATGATTTTTGCAAATGAGTACAGTGTGTAGAAGTTCACAAGTGTGAAGGGTGACTTCCTATTACAAAAGGTCTGATGAATCGCACCTTTAAACAGCAAGCTCCTGTATTTAAATGCAGTGCATCTGCTCATAATTTTCTACATCGTTCCAGTTACTTGGAATGGAGTTCGAATGTATTCTAATACTGCAATCTGAAGCTTCAGATCAATGTTTTCTAGGATTTGACAGTCACTGAAAGGGAGTCCTTCTTGTAAGTCATTAAAACCCATCTCTCGGTATTGGAAAGTCACGTATAGGTGTTTTATGAAAGAGAGATTAGAGGGCGCCTGGGTGGCTCAGTTGGTTAAGCGACTGCCTTCGGCTCAGGTCATGATCCTGGAGTCCCGGGATCGAGTCCCGCATCGGGCTCCCTGCTCAGCGGGGAGTCTGCTTCTCCCTCTGACCCTCCCCCCTCTCATGTGCTCTCTCTCTCTTAAATAAATAAATAAAATCTTAAAAAAAAGGAAAGAGAGATTAGAAATGACTTTGGCTCTTGAGGAAGTGAAGGTGTGCGTGTATACCTGCGTGCACACGCAGGTGATGAGTGAGTGAATGACCCAAACAGGTGCATCTGACGTTCTCTGTGGGTGAGAGTTTATTTGACACACAAATTAGTGGTTCCTGAATGATCACACCTAGGGGCTTGGGGGGGCGGCATATAAAAATGCCTTTCCGGGCCAACCCTAAGTGGTCAGGGAATCCAGGCTATTCCCAGGTTTCCAGGTAGTCCTGATGCAGGACCCTCCCTCCCTGAGCTCCTCCACTCTGGAAACCCAAGTTTCAGAGGAACCCGCAGACTGTGAGCAAACCGCAGAGACACGCAGAGCCCCACGCCTTGACTCCGTAGGAAAACGTGAACGTCCATCCCTGCCTGTTCTCCCTTTCCCACAGGAAGACCGGAAAGAAGGGATGACCGCGTTTGTGGAAAAGAGAAAGGCCAGCTTCAAGGACCAGTGAGCGCCTCCACCTCTGCCTAGAACCCTCTACTTAAAGACAAATTGGAGTCTGTCTGAGAAGCAAGTAAATCCTTTTATAAAGGGCCGTGTCGACGACACACAGTTTATCTCTGATGCTTGGGGCTCTCGCTCCTGTGTGGTAGGCAGTCTTCACCCAGCGGCCATGAGAATCCGTATCTGGAGCCTGTTCACACTCTGACTGACCATATTCTTCTTAAAAATTATGAGGGGAGGGCGCCTGGGTGGCTCAGTCGTTAAGCGTCTGCCTTCGGCTCAGGTCATGATCCCAGGGTCCTGGGATCGAGTCCCACATCGGACTCCCTGCTCGGCAGGAAGCCTGCTTCTCGCTCTCCCACTCCCCCTGCTTGTGTTCCTGCTCTCGCTATCTCTCTCTCTGTCAAATAAATAAATAAAATCTTTAAAAAAAAAAAAAAAAATTATGAGGGGAGCCTGGGTGGCACAGTCGGGTAAGTGACTGACTGTCGGCTCAGGTCAACGGATGAAGCCCCACATCAGGCTCTGTGCTCAGCGGGGAGTCTTCTTCAGATTCTCTCTCCCTCTGCCCCTCCCCCACTTGTGTGCATGCGCTCGCTCACGCTCTCTCAAATCAATAAAAATCTTTTTAAAAATTCTGCTCATGAGCCCTTGGTGATGTGTTTAAGTTTTTACTTGATTTCAGGAACTGAGAGATACTTCGATGGCAAGCACTCACTTTGTACAGTGAGCTGCGTTCGGATGGAACCAAGTCCCCTGCTTGGCCGCTGTGCAGTTTCACGGCCAGTGAACGTGACCGCTCAGAGGGCGGGTGCTGCCGACTGCGCGGCACATGTGAATCCCATCGTGCCTCTGGAGGCAAATGCCATGTCACTCTTCAAGCTTGTTTTGTCATTGTGTGTGACCTCAGTCAAACAGAAGAGAAGTCCATAAGGTCAGTCACCTGGCACGCTCCCAGGGTAACCACTGTTAACAGGTATGTAGCTTTCTAGATGCTTCTGTGAACACGTATGCAGACACGGGGATAGCAGTTTTCTCATAAAAATGGAATTGTGCATCCACACTTTGGCACAGCGCACTGACCGGTCCCACTGGTGCACCCTCTTCGGTTTAAATTGTGGTAAAGTCTAGGAAACATAAAGCTTACCATCTCAACCATTTTTAAATCTGCAGCTCAGAGGCACTGAGCATAGTGACAGTTTTGCAGCCGTCCCCACCGTCCATCTCCGCGCTGCTTTGTCCTCCCAAACAGAGACTGTCCCCGACAAATGCTAACCCTCGTCCCCCCCTGGCGCTGTCTCGGCTACCTTCCTTCTGTATCTGTGAATTCAGCGTTTCCGGGCTCCTCAGGTTATAGCAGGTCCTCAAGCTTGCTTGCTTCTCATTGCTCGGTATTATTCCTGTGAGCGTTCCGCTCGATGGCCCTGAAATACGTGATGGTACAGGAGTGTCGCTTACTTACCCAGGATGTTGGATGTTTAGGCTCCAGTTTCTTGTTATCAGGACTGTCATGGATAACACTGCAGTGACCATTCTGTGTGTGAATCCTTGCACTGCGGTGCAAGCATGCCTGTAAGATTTCGAGAACTGAGCCTGCAGTGGGGACCTGCCCACTCTGCCCCATCAGCAGCAGTCGACAGGGCCCCTCTTCTGGTGCTTGTCAGTCTGCAAGATTGGTGTTAGGACTGCTTGCATCCAAATCCCTAGGGTGCTTGCTTAAATGCACGTGCCCAGACCTGGATCAGAACTATGGGAGGCCCTGGAATGCGTGGTCTCCAAGGCATCCTGGTGCCCAGCAGAACTGTGTTCGGGGCTGTAACACTGAGTGCCATTTGCTGTGGGAGACAGAATTTCCACAGCAAGCTTCCTCTGCTGGCTTCAGACTGGTGGGCCAGCTGCGTCCCCCAGATCACACCTCACAGGGCACTGGTGACCGAGGGACCCCAGTTACAGGAAGCCACCTCTGCCCCACCAAACATCTGCCACTGAATTCGTGGGTCAGTGAGGCACGGTGCTCTAGACCCTCCATCTCTCCAGGCCATTGAGTAAAAGTCCTGAGCATGGGTCAGAGACCGTTCTCCTACTGCTTGGGAGGGCTTCATGGGTGAAGGGGGCTGTTGCTGTCCCAGGGTGGGGCCCCAGCCTCAAAACATCCTCAGACCCTCTGAGGTGAGATCAGGACATGGGCTTCTCTCCAGGTGGGCGCTGGGCACTACAGGGGACCCAGCTGGCTCTTGGCGCTGGGCATGCAACAGAGCAGCTACAGGTTAATTGATGGCCCCACGTGAGGGGGTGAGGCCCTGCTGGCTGCCATGCAACCCCCATCCCTCACCCCATCAGTCTTGCTCTATGGAGACGGCCCCAGCTCTCAGTGGAGGTGTGCCCATGGCACTCTGGGATGGCAGATGGAGTGTTGCCACCATTTTTGGAAAACAGTTCTGCTACACGTTCAACCAGGACCGGGCCCTGGAACCACCATCCTGACCCAGCCCTGGACACAGAGAGGCTGTGGGGTGCACTTCCGGGGGGGGGGTATCTTCCAGCAGGGAGGTGGTGGCACCCTGAACAGGAAAGCACAGTATGGTTTGTGGTCCCAGCATCCCAGATCCCAGGTCTCCAGGGACAAGGGTCAAGCAGGCAGGGGACTCTGGCCGGCTGAAGGCAAGGTGCTCCTCTGTTCAAGGGGACGAGGTGTGGATCCATTCCCCACCCCTCCCAATCTGGACACCCCATCTTGGTGGGGTGGGGGCGGGAAGGTCCAGTCCTGAGGAGGACCAGCAGCTGGGACCCTGGGTAAGAAGAGGTCGGGTCACTGCTGTCCTGGGATGGGACACTGCACCCCATCAGGTACCTGAGGGGTGTCAGCAGGTTGACGCCTGGGAGACAAGGTGGGGACCCCCCAATAAGGTGCTCCCAGCACACCAGCTTGGCCGGGAGGCCGCTCCTGCCTGCCCTCCAGGGTCCCCTGTAGGGTTCCCTCCAGGGCAGGCCCGTGGGCGCCCTTGAGAAGAATGTTGGTTGAAGAAGTCGGACGGCTCTGGCCACCCGCCCTCCCAGGGACCCAGCGGGCTGGGGTGGGAGTGGGCCAGGTGGGGGTCAGCAAGGCCTGGGGAGCGGAACGGAAGGGGGATGGGGAGGCCGCGAGGGGCGGCAGCGGGAAGCTCGGGCCTGGGATCCGGCGAGGGACGCGAGGCCCCGGAACACGCTGCGGGGCTGGGCCGGGTGTCGCCCCCGCCCCCGGGCAGCACGCGCAAGCCTCAGTCCTCCGTGCGTCCAGCCCTTCAGGGCGCCGCGAGGGGACCCTCCCCATCGCGCAGTCGTGCCCCCACTCCTGCCCCCACTCCTGCCCCGCCCCTTCCGCCGAGGCCACGCCCCTCCACTCCAGGCCGCGCGATCATGGTGGTGCTAAAGGGCGTCCCGGCGCTGCTGTCCCCTGAGCTGCTCTACGCCCTGGCGCGGATGGGGCACGGAGACGAGATCGGTGAGGGGCGGGGACAGGGCCCCCGCCACCCCAGGCCCCGCAGGGGTCCTGACCCAGGTTGTGCCCCCGGCCGGGAGGCGACCACTCCCCAGGCCCGGGAAGAGCCGGGTCCTGGGGTGGAGGCATTGCTTTGGCCGCCCCGTCCCGCTTCCCAGTAGGACACCCCCGCAACCCCACATTCTTTAGGAAACAGGCCCGGTTGGTGGCCCAAGCCCCTGCCCAGACTTGGTCGCCCCCCGGCGGTCATGAGGACGGTGGCCCTTGGTCCAGGCGGGGCTGTGTCGGCAGGTCCGGCCCCTCCCCCAGCCCGGCTTTCTGGGGGCCCCGGGGCCAAGTTCCCAGCTCCGGCCTCGGGCCGTGTGCCGCTCATTCTCCAGACCCCCTCCCAGACGGCCCACGAGGGGCCACACCGCTTTCTTTGGGGCGGTTTGTCTTTTCCTGGAGCCGTGGACCTGGGGCGGGGGCTGCGCGGCCGGACGCCGGGGCGGGCTGGGGGCGGCGGCGCCCCTAGGGGATGGAGGCGGGGAGGGGGGGTCCAAACCCCGCCCTCGTAGCCCCTGCAGCTCCTCCTGCACTTGGAAACTTCCTCTCCCCGCCCCCACCTCTGACGAGAGGGGTCGACGGGTCGGGGAGGGCCGTGGGCGTGGCCTGCCGTCGGACAGGTGACCCGCCCGGCGGGAAGGGGGGCTGCGCGGACCCGCGGACCCACCGGGGGATGTTTAACCGGGTTGGATGGCTGTTCAGTTTTTGCAGACGTGAACTTCCCCACCTCCTCCATATGCAGGTGTGGCCCGGAGGAGATCCGCGCTGACGGTGAGCGGCCGCCTCCGGCAGAGTGGGGTTAGGGTGGGTAGGCCGTGGCCCCAGCTCTGGGCTCCCCAAAGTGCTGCTGCTCTGCCCCATCCCCACTTCTTCCCCAGCACCCCCCAGTGACCCAGGAAGTCCCAGTGCCAGGACCCGCAGAGACCCTTCTCCACCCCAAGGCCCCAGACGTGACCCTGGGCCTCCTGCTCCATCTCAGATACCTCTCGGTAACTTCTTGCCAGTGGGGAAACTGAGGCCCAATGGCTTGTTGGCTGGCTGAGCGCTGGTGCACCCCTGCCCCCCCACAGCCCAGGTCCGTGTTCAGCTTTTACTCTGCTATAGAAATCCCACTACTGGTGACCTGACATGGGTTCCAGGTGCCCCCATGCTCTGTCTCTGAGACCCTCTGACCCTCAGGGGTGGGCCACAGGCTTGGCTGGGAGGGGCCTGGAGTCAGGTCCCCAAGGTGATGGTAGTAGCAGAGTTAATACCAAGAGTAAGGGGGTGGGGGGTGTGAGGACACCAGCGTCCCCCTGCCCTGTCCTGCCTGGGCTGGCAGTGGGCTCAGACTGGGCCTGACTGTCTCCCCACCCTTAGCAATGCTCTGAGAGGGGACACAACTCTCCCTGCAAAATTGAGGCCACTGAGGCATAAAGATGTGACGTGTAGGGTAAACCAGCCCCTCTGCACAGAGCGGGCCAGTGGTCTGAGGCCTGTCCAGTGGGCTGCTGGCTCCGGGCCCAGTGGCCTTGTCTTCCACCCTCTGCTGAGGGACATGAGCCAGCCGTGCCTCAGTTACACTGTGGGCCAGATGACCAACATGCTCTCCCCCACAAGGAGAATGGGACAAGGTGGGCCACGGGAAAGGCCAGAATGCTGGAAGATAAGGAGTGGCCAAGCTTCCGAGTGACCCGCACGCCCTGTGGGTTAGTGGAAACAAGCAGCTAGGGGTCAGAGCCAGGTACGCAGACAAATCTAACCACAGAGAAAAGCAGAGAAAAAGGAGGAAGAAAATGCACCCGGGATAGCAGGGTTTCCCACCAGCAGGCTAATAAGATTACAGCCAATTCTTTCTTGTCACCAGCTCCATATTTCCCCGTTTTGTACAACCAGCCTTACAGAAGAGCAGGGACCTTGGAGACCAGTGGGCCGGTTTGGGGACAGCCTGGGGCAGAGCGGCCTCTTCCCAGACCCCACTGTCCTCACCACAGGATAAAGGTGGCAACCCAGGGGTCGTCTGGGGGAACTGGGGTCAGGGAGGTGGCCCAAGTGCCCCTCTGGTGGATGAGTGTTTGAGGTCACCACCAATAACCTGTGTGGTGCAGACTGAAGGGCAGGGCGAGCCCAGAGCCAGGATGGTCACAGGTGCTGTGGCAGGGAGAAGCCAGCTGACCCCAATAAGTGTCACCAGGCAGGCAGCAGGGGCCTGCATCCGTGGCTGTCCCGGCCCACACCATCCCTGCTGGCCGGCTTCGTGAGCCCAGGGTAAAAGGCCCAGAGGGCAGGCGGCGCTGTCGGTGGCTGGGTGGCAGACGGCTGCGGTCTGAGGCTGGCCCTCTGCCCTAGGCCTGGGCATCCCAGAGCTCCTGGAGGCCGTGCTGAAGATGCTGCCACTGGACACCTACGTGGAGAGCCCGGTGAGTGCCTGTCGCCACACTGCCCCCGTCCCTGCTCTGGTCCTTGGTTTCTCCTTTGTCAGACCTCAGAGGACCCACTTGCCTTGAAGGGTGGGGGGGAGGACATGTGTCCCCACAGGGCCCTGAGCCTGATCAGAGGACCCCTAAACTGGCACCCAGTGAGGGGGCTGGAAGCGCCCACGGCAGCTGGACAGAGAGCGCACAAGCTGACCCCCTCTGTCCCTAGGCTGCTGTCATGGAACTGGTGCCCAGCGACAGGAAGACAGGCCTTCAGACTCCAGTGTGGAGGAGCTACCAGTCCCTCCTGTCTGAGGCTGGCTGCACGGTGAGGCTGCGGCCCCCACCAAGGAAGCACTCAGGGACCCTCTGCACCTCCTTGGAGGCCGGGGAGGAGTAAAAGACAGGGGCCCCAAATCCACCCTACAGCTGTGGCCCACTTGCTCACCCTCCACGGAAGTGGAGGCTGTGGCTGTCCCCTGAGGCTGTGGCTGTCCCCTGCCCCCAGCCTCCCACCTCTCAGGTCAGGGACCCTGTGGTGGCCTGTGGCCCCTCACCCACCCCAGCTTTTGTGAGTGGAGCCAGGGGCAAGTGGGGCACCCCTGGCCCCTGTCTTGTGGTCAGAGGCCTGGCCTAATGCTGTGTCACCCCCACATTGTGAGGGGATGAATCTGTCCCCCCAGGACCTCCCACCAGCACGTCTTGGGCAGGACCCACCTGAGGAAAGGCTGCCTGGGACTCCTATCCTGGGCAGGGGCCCTCCTGCCTTCAGGCCAACTCCAGGAGACACAAGGGCCCCAGGCAGCTGGCCACCACAGCCCCCCACGTCCCTGCCTGTCCAGTCCTCACAGCTCAGAGGCTGAGCATCCTTGGGACCTCAGCCAGGAGAGCCAGAGACATGAAGCTCAGAGTGGCCATGTCTCCTCATGCCCCTGGCACCTGCTTGGGCCCTGAGGGTTTCTGAGCAAGGTCCCTCAACCATGACATTTTGCCTTCCAGAGCACCCTGGCGAAGATAGAGAGGTTTGAGTTTTATGCGCGGGCCAAAAAGGCTTTTGCTGTTGTAGCAACTGGGTGAGTTCTGGCCGAGTCCACGGGGTCCTGCAGGGTCCTGCTGGTGAGGGTAGGTTCGGCTAGGTCTGGCTAGGTCTGGGTCATGTGAGGCACTCCCCCTACCCTCTGCTCAGCCCCTGCCCCAACTGAGACTAGAGGCCCCACTGGGAATAGGATTGTCAAGGGATCTGCCTGAGGAATGGTCCCTGGACTTGTCTAGTGGGTGGGGTGAAAGTGGATGGGATGGGGGGCAGAGCAGGGATCCCAGCTTGGTGCTCAGCTCAGCTCCTTATGCAGGGAGACGGCCCTCTATGGAAATCTCATCCTCAAGAAGGGGGTGCTGGCCCCTGAGGCACTGTTCTAGGCCTGGCGAAGACCATTGGGCCCAGAGAGGAATCTGGATCTCTGAGCCAGACAACGGACAAATTGGCCCTGCCCTGCTCAGCCCAGACTGCACCCAGCTGGGGACCCCAAGGGCCAGGCCAGTCCTTGGGAGGTGGGGGGAGGGGCTGCTGACTGGGACTGGGACTCACCCAATTTACGACAGTGGTATGAAGTGTGGTGACTCGTCAGTGTTCAGTCCAGGGGTTTCAACAACAGCCCCATCCTCACAAAGACTTGTTTAGTGCCGAACACAAGGGAGGTCATTGGCTCCTCAGAGCACCTCCCCCCCGCCCCACCCCATGCATCCTCAGGTGGGAAGGAAGGCCTCCCTCCTGCCTAAGATTTGGGTAGCCTGACTCTGAAGCAAGTCCCTGGGTTCGGGACAAGAGCTCACACAAGTAGAGATCCTCATGTGAGGAGACTCCACAGAGGGCTGCACTGGGGGGGGCCATGACTGCACTGCAAGAGGCTTGGGGGTGGGCAGCCCTGAGTGGAGGGGGGTTCTGCAATCAGCCCCCCAGGCGCAGACACTCAGGTGGCCCTTGAGAAGACCAGGGCCCTTCCTTCAGTCCCAAAGGCAGGGAGGCAGGGGGGACGGGTTGGTCTGGATGCTCTGAGAGGTGACTGTGTGTCTGGGTGCTGGAGAGGGTTGGGGCCGGTCATCTGTTCCCTCTCTCCAGTGGTTGAGTGCCTGCTGAACACACAGGAGCCTGAGCTGTCCTGGGAAATGGGGGTGGGAAGGTAAAGGACAAGAGGATGCCCCTTGCCCAGCAGGCAAAGGGCCAGCCTGCCTGGAGGCAGCATGTGGGAGGGAGGCTGTGATGGCTTCCGGCATGAGGCTGGGGTGGGGGCTCAGGGTGCTCATGGTGGGAGTATCCTGCCACCACTGCTCGGGACCCCAGAGTCTCCCCAAACCCTCGCCCTCCCCTCCAGGCCTTCATTTAGCCATGTGGGTGCAGAAGCTGGTATGAACGGGGGCTCCTGCGCTTCTAGGTCCCTCAGAGCCTGGGGAAGGTTCCCGTGCTTGGGACCGGGGCTGGTGTCCCAGATGCCAAGGAGAACTTGGAGGGCAGGCAGGCCCACTGGGCTGGAGGTCTGGGGCTCAGCCTAGGGAAGGGACCCTGCCCGGGCCCAGTCACTGCCAGGGCTTAACCTCAGACCCCTGACCCCACGGCCACTGCTAGCCACACAAAGGCTTTTCTTTAAACAGCTTTATTGAGACTTACCTGACATACAATAAACTGTACACATTTAAAGTGTACAGTTAAATGTCTTTGGATGTTGTCACACTGGCGAGTCTCTTGCCTCCTCCAGCGTCCCCTGCTCACAAGGCTCACACACCTCAACGGCCCACTCCCAAATCCTAGCGGCACTGTCTCTCCAGGAGCTCTCGGCCATGTGGCTGCACCCTTGGGTGGGAGGAAATGCCCATGGGGAATCCTGGCTCCAGGGATGCCGGAGAGAGACTGGGCCACAAGCCACCCTGGGCTGTCCAGGGCCGTGGCCACCACTGACCTTGGATCTGAGCTGGGCGCTGGGCCCCAACCGCCCATACCCAATTGCTCAGACGGGGGCGACCCGCGGGCCTACTAACCCTCACATGTGCCATGCGGGGTAGTCTGGGGCCTCGCCGTGCACTTGGCTCCTCAGGTCTGGGGCAAGAGCAGGTGCAAGGCGCACAGAGGTGAGGCTGGGACTCACTGTTACAGTCCTGCTGTCAGAGCAGGACCATGAACAGGTCACTGTCCAGTCTGGGGTCCCTTCCTCAGTAACGTGGGGATGACAGTACCCCTACTTGGTGCACAATGCCAGGCAGTGAGCACGTGAGCCGTCAGGCAGAGCATTAGGGCGTGGGCCGCCATTCAAGTCCTCAGAGGGGACCCACAGGAGGACACGGAACTCTAGGGCACGTGAGGTCATCCTGGACAAGCCCACCGTCCCCAGAGCAGCCAGATGCATCCGAATCTGCCTGGTGCTTTATTCTGTCCTAAGCACTGGAGTGGCTCAGGCTGGGGAGTGGGAGGCACTCCGTGCTTCCCTCTTGATGCAGGAGCGTGACCGCCACACACAGCCCCATTTGCATCTGCACACACGGTCTGCCCACAGTCAGTACGTGAAATAACTAGTGAGCTCGTGCCCGCAGCTGCAAGGTCGGGCCGTGCCCTGGGATCCGGGCCCCTCAGACCGCGCCGGGCAAGCAGCCAGAGAATGAAGAGCACCGGGAGTCTGGCCTGAGTCCTGCACCGCCCCCCCGACCTGAGCAGCGGTGCACCTGTCCACCTGAGTGCCCACCAACGGGCAGCCTCCGGCTGTCTTTTTAGGGCCCATCTGCGGGGAGCTGACTGGTCCCAACCACTGACCTCTGCCATGCCCCTAGCCCCATCCCAACGTACAAGGAGGAGGCCTAAGGGGAGCAGGTTATTCCGAGAGCAGGGGTGCTGGGTTGGGGGAGCTTTGGGGCTCTCGATGTGTGGAGACAAGCCTGTGGCACCAGGAGGACACGGGCCCCCCTTCTCCCAGACACAGCAGGCTAGGACCATGGTCACTGTTCCTGAAGACACATGTGGCCTCCACCTCTGCGAGGTTTATTCTTCCAGTTGGGGAGGGGTCAGGGCCCCCAGGAATCCTCCCTGGGATGGTAGATGTGGTCTCGATCCTCCTCTGGCCCTTGAAGCACCTGGGGAAGTGACAGTGCCCAGGACCAGAGCCCTGCCTCATCCTGGACCTCCTGGGCCTCCTCGGGCAGTGGGTGGTACAGGTCATCACGGTCTGGCTCAGGGTCCCACCTGGGGCTTGGAACATGGCCCAGGGTGTCCTCGGTTCGTGCCTGGGCTTTGGTGCCTAAGGACAAGGAGATGGGTTGGAGGCGTGGTTCCCATCTGGAGGGAAGCCGACTCCATGGCGCTCCTGGGCTGTGACCTTGTTCTCCGCCCTCCCCCGTGCCCCGCCAGGGGTGCCCACCTTGACCTTGCAGTTTCTCCCACGTGGCAGCTGCAGGCTTTGGTGCCGCCAGCAGCCCCATGAGCTGGTTGTCCTTTTTCAGAGTTTCCACCACTCGGGCGCCCCAGGCCCTGCGAGCACAGCTGGGTCAGTCAGGTCTACCTGCTCCGAAGGAGGCAGCCAGCCAGCCCCGCCAGTGAGGGTGCCACCCCCTTCTGAGCAGCCTGGGGGCCCTGAGCAGGAGACCTAGTGGGAAGTTGCTCCCCACCAGAGTCCTTGGTGGCTCAGTTCCATCACTCGCCACCTGCCCCAGGGGCCCCGGGACAAGCACCCCTGCCCCCGCACCAAGAGCTATGGCCAGGCAAACTCCACGGAACCCAGAGCCGCAGGCCAGGCTTCCCCACCACATCCCTGAGCTGCAGGGGGCCCAGGAAGGTCGGAGCACCCGAGGAGGCATCCTAAGGGTGTCCCCTGAGAAAACGTCCTGGCCCAGCCCTGGGTCATGGAGACCCAGAGAACGTGGGCGGGGGCTCCCTCCTGTTCCGGAGGCCAGGCCTGTGCAGGCTGGGGAGTGGCTCTCTACCCTCTGGCCTGGCCCAGTGACCCTGGGGGAGAAACCAGCCGGGGTTGCCTCATGTGAGTGCAGGGAACGGGGCATGGCTTAGGAGGACCTTTGTCTATGGCCACGGCCCTGGGGGTGGGGTAACTATCCTGGAGGCTGCTAGGAGAGCTAGGGGATCATCCTGGAGCCCCCCTGCCCTGGCTCTGGTAAGCCGCTGACAGGTCCCATGGGGGCCCATGCTGGCTGGAGCACGGCCCCCTCCCCGAAGCTGCTGGGCAGGTCTTCCCCGCCATCCACAACGCCCTTAGTTTAGGGGGTTCCCAGAAGGGGCTGCTGGGGGCACTCACTCCTCTGTGTCCCGCTCAGGGGCCCCGACATGGCCTTTGGTCTTGATGAGGACCTGGAAGAGGGAGGTCACAGGTGTGGGGTCCAAGGTCAGAGGACACCTGCAGAGAGATGGTTCCAAGGCCCCCTGGACCACACTTGCTGACTCCACCCCACCTTTGGCAGACTGGACAGAATCCGTGTGGTTCCTGGAGAGGCAGGGCCACCCTGGGGCTGCGTCTGCACCACTCCTCCCTGGCTGATGGCCTGAGGAAGGGGGCCAGCTCCTCAGTCCAGCCCTCTGTGGAGCGAGTTGAGCACGGGGGAGTGAATGAAACGTGACCCCTGGGAAGCGACCAGCTGTCTGTCGCCAGGAAGGGGTGGGCTTTCCCCTTCACCTGGTCTCTCCCAGGTGTGCAAGTCTGAGTGGTCTTGGCCCAAGGCGGGGTAGGAGGGGAAGAGGGATGGGGAGACACGGCCTGACACCAGTTACCTGCACAGAGAGCACCTGAGCAGCATGTGCAAGGACGGAGGATGTGCTCGGACTCAGTGCAAGTGAGTTTCATCAAGGGCCCCCTCCTCCACCTGGACCACCTGGGCGTCCATGAGCCTTGCCCATCAGACCCCACACAGGGGCCCGCTCCCCCTCATCCTGAGGGTCCCTCCCAGTGCCCACAGGGCCGCCCACCGCACTTGGTGTCCTTCCTTCACATTCCTTGCTGGTGGGCGAAGGAGCCCGCACATACCTGGGGCAGGAAAGCCGAGCCTGTCTCCCCCAGCAGCAGAGCCACCAGGCTGATGACCAGGAGGAGCCTGAGGGGACCAGAGAGGAGAGTGAGAGGCCGGCCAGGGTTGCTCCTGCTCATCAACCTCCAGACAGGACACCTAGGGGGGCAGCCCGGTGTGGTTGGCAGTATGGGTCCCAGCCAGGGAGGCCTGGGGCCAGGTCCACGGGTAGATTCATGGTCTCTCCATCTCACAGACCAAGGACACACAGGCACAGAGACGTGGGACCGCCAAGTCCACAGGTAGATTCATGGTCTCTCCATCTCACAGACCAAGGACACACAGGCACAGAGACGTGGGACCGCCAAGTCCACGGGTAGATTCATGGTCTCTCCATCTCACAGACCAAGGACACACAGGCACAGAGACGTGGGACCGCCACAGGCCCACGCGTGCTCCCAGGGCCCCTCAGACCAGGGGCTGCTGCCCCGCTGCACCCAACATTCTGGACAGATCCTCTGCTGCAAGCACGGGCCGCCGGGTGGATATGATGATCCGTGCCTTGCCTCCAGCTCCCAGCATCTGGGCTAGCGGCCGCACACAGACACGCACCCCCTCGGGCACAGAGCGGTGAGGGCTCACAGCATCCTCACCTAGGTGCTGATGGGCTAGGACCTGGGGCAAGGATCTCAGAGTGCTCTCTGTCCATGGCTCCCCTGAAGCTGTGCACGGTGGTTCCCTCAGGGCCAGATTGCGCCTAGAGCTGTGGGTGGACTGCGGTGTCAGTGCCTGGGCACGAAGCCCCAGAGGAGGCAGGGAGGATGGGTGCTCTTCCCAGACATGTTCAACTTGACCCCTAGGGAGGCCAGGATGGCCAAGAGGGGAGAGGAGCCAAGGACCGAGCCCCAAGCAGGGAGTCTGCAAAGAAACACAGGACAGGCGACAAATGGACCCAGCAGTAAAGGTGCTAGAAGCCTCATCCAAGACAGAAGAGGAGAGGATGGGAGACTGGTGCCTGGTCTGTGTGAGCGTGATGCAAGTGTACATGGTGTGTGTGTGTGGTGTGTGTGTATGCATGTGTGCATGTGGTGTGCAGGTGCATGTGTGCATGGTGTGCGTGATGTGGGCACGTGGTGTATGTGTGCATGGTGTGCATGATGTGTGCATGTGGCGTATGTGTGCACGCGTGGTGCGTGCACGTGTGGTGCATGTGTGTGTGGTGTGGGCACGTGGTGTGTGTGTGCACGAGCATGTGGTGCATGTGTGCATGGTGTGCGTGATGTGTGCATGTGGCGTATGTGTGCACGCGTGGTGTGTGCATGTGTGTGGTGTGCGTGATGTGTGCATGTGTATGTGTGCACGCGTGGTGTGGGCACGAGCATGTGGTGTATGTGTGCATGGTGTGGTGTGTGCACGCGTGGTGTGGGCACATGTGGTGCATGTGTGTGTGGTGTGGGCACGTGGTGTGTGTGCATGGTGCATGTGGCGTGCATGGGTGAGCATATGTGTGTGTGTCTTGTTAAAAAACAAGACAACAGGCCCAAAATGGAATCGCTCACCCCAAGCCCCAGGTCTCCAACCCGAACCCTGAAATGGATCCTTAAAGCAGTGAGGCGGGAACGCACGGTCAGCCCTGGGTAGGTCATCTGTCCGACAGGCCCCTGCTGTCCCCTGAAGAAAGGTCACCCTGCAATGACCCACCGGCGTTTTGCTGCTGGAACTTCGTCCCGCTCCCTTCTGCCTGTAATTCCTGTCTGCCGAATGGGATTCCACCCAATTCTAATTGATTTTGCTCAAATAAACCCAAAATTTTAATATGCTTCCGTTTATCTTGTAACAGTCTGTGTGCACACAGGGCTCTTCCTGGCATTCTGGGAAAGGGTTCTTTCTGTCTCTGCAGCTGGCCGGGTGGCAGGCTGGGCAGGGTTGGGAGGGGCCGGGGAGCCCAGGGGGTCAGCGGGGGCCTCAGATCAAGGCTTCCTACAAGCTGCCCCACCCTCGTAGCCAGAGATTCCAGTTCCACAAAGACCTTTGCCTCTTCTCCAAGTGGCTCAGCACTTTGGGGTGAGGGTTCCTGTGCACACCAGGGGAGCCAAAGGGCGGGGGCGTGCCCTGGACCTCGGGGCACTGGCCTGGTCTGGTTCAGCTGCCCTGCGTCTCCTGGGCACCGACTCGTAAACAGAGGCCAGCTCTCGTGCTGGCAGGGGCTGAACTGTGGACCTGTGCCTACGTGTCTGGACTCTACACCACCACCACGCTGTCCAGCTAAGCCAGGGAAAGCACCTCACACACCTCCCAGGATAGGGCCTCTGCCAGGTCCAGAGAGTGGGGGTGGCAGTGGGGAGCATGGGGCATCCTGGCTGTGGGCCCCCTGTAGATCTCTTTCCAGGAAGACAGCTCTGGATACCAAAGTGTTCCCAAGGCCCCCCAGCCACCCAGCAACCCACCTCTCTACAGGAGGGTATGGCCTCTGGTTCACGCCAGGGTTCCAAGGAGAACCCCCCAGAACAGGAGGGCAAGGGGAGGGCTCTAGCATAGAGGAGGAGGAAAGGGGACCCCCCATGGGATGAAGACAGCCTCTGGCCCTGGGGCCCAGCACACACCCCTGCTTCCAGGGTGATATTCCCTCCGGGTAGCATCTGACCGCTGCCCTCAGCCCCTGCCAGCCTCCAGCCTCCTCTTCTTGACCCAACCCTTTCTTTTGGGCAGTCACAAACCTGGTGCCTCTTCCCTCCCATGTGCAGGGGTGATTCTCTGCTGGGTCAAGGGACCCCAAGGGACAGGTGTGCTCTCTCTCTCATGGGGATCCCAGGGGTGGCCCTCAAAGCTAGTCCCCGGACGCAGACACCAGATGGGCCACAATCACTGGTAGCTCAGGAGGGAGACCTCTGGCAGCCCTGGGGACCGCAGCCAAACACTGGCGTGAGGACAGAGAGCCACCCCTTCCTCCCCGCCAACTCCCTCCCCTGGAGCCAGCCTGAGCTGGGAAGGAGGTGCCCCAGGGGCTGGGGGGTCTGGCTTCAGGAGCATTGGGCATTACCTCCTCATGATGGGGTTCCCTTCTCAGCGTAGACGGTGCTCTTGGGGACCCGTAGTTCCAGATCCAAGCACACGGTGACTCAGACACCTGGTCCCGCTCCTCCCCACCCAGGTTCCTCGGGGTTTTGTGGCCCATGTGGGCGTATCCGGACAGAGGTCAGAGACCAGGGATCCCAACTACAGCGGTGACTGGTTCTACCCAGCTGGCTCTCCATCAGCTGTCACTCCCTTGAGTCCCCCCCCACCCACTGCAGGACGGACCTGATGCAGCGCCCCTCCCACCCCAGCTCCCCACTGGAATCTGCATGCTCCGTGCCACCCACCAGCCAAGTGTCCTGATGTCGCAGGCTGGAGCCTTGTGACCCGGGGGCGTGGACCCCCAGCTGGGCCGAGTGGTGGGCTGGAAGCTGGAAAACCGCCCCCGCAGCGCCCTGCCCTTTGGGCCTCTGGGCACAGGCCTCCTCCTGGAGCTGGGTTTGCTCAGAGACACGTGCAAGGGTTGGGGCTTCCCACAAGTCAGAGTGCGGAGCCTTACCCCAGCCGGATCAGGGCTCTGGAACGCGACCCACAGCACACGCGCAACGGAGAAGTGGGTGCTCAAGCAGGCGCTGAGCCTTGGGTCGGAAGGGAGGGGCCAGCAGCCTCCTCACGGGCGGTGGGCACAGAGGCTCCGCAGGGCGTGTCAGGGAAGCAGCCCTAAACCTGCCTCCACGTTGTCTGTGTGCTCCCGGCTGTCGGCAGAGAGCAGAACCCCACTGCCCAACCAGGCACGGCCTTGCGCAGCGTAGACCCAGGGGCAACCCCCGGGAAGCCAGCTGTCAGAGAGCCAGGGAGAGGAAGGTACCGCGTGAGGTCAGTGCGTACATCACAAGGAAACAGTGTGCAGATCCAGCCCAAGGAAACTGCTAAACAAACAACCATCACCCTCAGCGGAAATACCAGAATCCAAAGTGGCTGCAACCTATAATCTAAGACATCTAGCTTGTTTGTTTGTTTTAAATGAAGAGATTTGAGATTTTGAGCAATTTGGGGTACAGAGAAAAATCTAGCAGAAAGTAGAGTCCCCCTACACCCTCTCCGGCTCACCCTGTTTCCCCACCACTGGCCTCTGGCTTTGGTAGGGCACACTTGTTCCCTTGATGAGATCATTATTTCTCAACCAAAAATTACAAGACAGGCAAAGAAACAAGAAAAGTGTGACCAATATTTGGGGAAAAACAGGTAATAGAAAGTATCTCTGAGTGGACCCAGATGTTGGACTTAGCAGACAAGAGCTGAGTGGGAACCATCGTAAAGAATTAAAGAGAAGGATGATGAAATGTCTTAAGTAATTTCAATAAACAGAATTCTTAAAAGAATCAAATGGAAATTCTGGAATTTAAAAACACAATAACTAAAATTTAAAAATTCACTAGAGGGTTTAGTAGAAGACACATTTCAGTATTTAATATCTTTAAGTTAGATGAGCTCTTATTTTTTTTAATATTTTATTTATTTGTTTGACAGAGACACAGCGAGAGAGGAAACACAAGCAGGGGGAGTGGGAGAGGGAGAAGCAGGCTTCCCGCGGAGCAGGGAGCCCGATGCAGGGCTCGATCCCAGGACCCCGGGATCATGACCTGAGCCGAAGGCAGACGCTTAACGACTGAGCCACCCAGGCGCCCCTCAATGAGCTCTTAAAGACAGATCAAAGGAAATTATCCAATCTGAAGAGACCAAAAAAGAAGAAAAATGAACAGCATCTCAGAGACCCGTTAGACCACGAGTGTCAAGCACACACATATGAACACCACACGCACCCATACACACACGTATACATCCCATCCATATGTACCCACACGCGCGCGCACACACACACACACACGTGTGCGCACACATACACCATACATTTGTATACACACAGATACAGAGTCCCAAAAGAAGAGGAGGGAGAGAAAGGATCAGAAAGAATAAATCAATACAGAATGGCAAAAATCACTCCAAACTTGATGAAAAGCATTTACTACAGACCCAATAAGCTCGATGAGCCCCAACTAGGATAAAACAAAGACATATCACAGCTAAACTGTTGAAGCCCAAAGACAAAGTCTTGAGAATAGCAAGAGAAAAAAACCACGCCTGGCAGAGCACCAGGAATCTGGCTGACAGCTGACTTCCTAGCAGAGACGGGACAGGCCGCGGCCCTGTCTTAGCAGACTGTGCGGGGGACGAGAACACTCCTAGGAGGTCAGTGTCACCCTGACTCCAGAGGCAAAGACATTATATGGAAAAAAAAAGTATAGGCTAGTATTCTTCATGAACATTGACAAAAAATTCTTAATAAAATATTAAGACGCATAAAAAGGAATTTATGTTAGGAATGCAAAATTGATTTAATATTCAAAAATGAATTGATACATTACACTCTACGGACAAAATGAAGGACAAAAAACATGTCATCATTTTAATAGATGCAGAAAAAGAATCTGACAAAATCCAATACCCATTTATGATAAAAACTTTCAACCAGGAACATGCTTGATAAAAAGGCATGTACAAAAAACCTACAGCAAACACCGTATTTCAGTGTAGGGTGGACAGCTTTCTCCTTAAGACTGGGTTTGAGACGAAGACGCTGCTATTCAACACTGTACTGTGGATTCCAAGCAGTGCAGCAAGGCAAGAAAAAGAAGAAAATTATGCTTCAAATAGAATGGAAAAGTAAAACTGTCTTTATTTGCAGAGGATGTGATCCCATACTTAGAAAGTTCTAAGGAATCCAAAAAGAAATTACTAGAAGTAAATAAATTAGTAGCAAGATCTCAGGATATAGGATCAACATACAAAAATCAGTCTTCTCTATATACTAGCAATGAACAATTTTACTGAAATTAGGGAAAAAGTTCATTCATAATAGCACTGAAAATAATGAAATAGAAATAAATTTAACAAAAGAAGCACAAGACTAAGGCTGAGAGAAATTACAGATCTAAATACACTGAGAAGTGTTCCATGCTCATGGATTGGAAGATTCAATTTTGTTAAGATGGCAATTCTCCCAAAACTGATCTGTACATTCAATGCAACTTCTATCAAATTCCTTGCAGGATTCTTTGTAGAAATCTGCAAGCTGATCCTAAAATTTATGTGAAAAGGTAAAAAACTCAGAAGAGTCAAAACAACTTTCTAACAGATGGACCAAGTTGGAAGACACACACTACTTCCATTTCAAAACTTGCCATAAAGCCACAGTGATAAATGATGTGCCACGTGCATGAGGATTGATAAATAGATGAGGGAAATGGAATTAAGGGTCTAGAAATGAACCCATGCATATATGGACAACGAATTTTTGACAAAGATGTCAAGATAATTTGATACGTAAAAGTGACTGTTCTCAACAAAAGGTGCTGAGACAAGTGAATATCCATATGACAAAAAAAAAAAAAAACTCCACAAAACAATTTAGACGTATAACCTACATTGCACACAAAAGTTAATTCAAAATGTATCATTCTAGGGGCACCTGGGTGGCTCAGTCCGTTAAGCGTCTGACTCTTGATCTCAGCTCAGATCTTGTGCTCAGTGTTGTGAATTCAAACCCCACGATGGGCTCCATGCTAGGCATGGAGCCTACTTAAAAAAATAAAAATAAAAATGTGAAAGCTAAAATTGTAAAACCTCTGGAAGAAAAAAAATGAGAAAATTTACAGCACCAAAAGCATGGTACATAAAAGAAAAAAATGGACGTTGGACCTCATCAAAATGACCAACTTTTGCACTTCAAAAGACACCACCAAG